ATGAGGCAGATAGTAACAACGGCTAGAGAATCAAAGTATATCTTTTCTATATGCTACTTATTACATTAATTAGATGCGTCATCTCAGTATTTAAAAATACTAATAATATTGCGTTAAATATAAATATATTATCTGTTATACAATTAGAGAGTAATCGTTAATATTATTTGAATAGATTCTTGCCCTTTTTTATAGCTAAAAATGATGATCTTGTATCTTCTTATAATATTCCCGATTCGTAAAAAGGTCCAAACATAAATCATGATACGAGCTTTCGCCGTGCATGCCTTTCTGATCAAGCGAGCAATTATGAATATCTTAAGGTATCCATTATCACAATCAATGTACCATTCGCGTTTGATGATAAATTAAATAAGAACAAGAATCTGTCTTTATCGAGTAAGCAGAGTAAATTTTCTATTGAGAGTGTAACGCATTTTGTGCGACGTTTGGATACCTTTATCATTTTCTGGAACTTTTATTTACCACGATTTATAAAATAAACTTTGCGAATTCTCCCCCCGTTCTCTAAGCATCTCTTGCCTTCGTTTTTATCTTCCATTAAATTCCATTGCGCATTTTTCAAAACTGTACCACCGTAATAGTCTAAAATGTATGTATATACAGTTCCACCACAGACAACCATTAAATCTTTATAGTTTTTATTTTTTCCCCTTCCCGTCCCCGCGCTAGTATTTAAATTTATTTTATCCGTCTGAGACTCATTAATATCATAAATTAATTAGTTCAGTTATATACCAATCTTCAACAAACGCATCGATTATATTTACGTGTTCTGTACAAATTAAATGTAACCGCGTTTCCTTAATACCTCGCATACACTTAAAGACTTTAAAATTCACGCTTTAACTTTAGTTAAAAATCGATAATAATATAAGAAATATTATTAGTAATAATTAATATACTATTTTATTACTTTGCATCGTTATTGACTGAGGATTAATTTATAAAATAAATTGCGAAAAACTGAGACTTTAGACACATCGCTATTATCTTCTTGCAAGTTAGATTAAATAACAGGTTATTTACCTTAATAATCCCGAATGACCAAATATTGTGCTACTTTTCAAAATATTTTTTTACCAATTTTTTTGTTTTTAAATTTTTGTTATAATTTTATATTTTTTTATAGTTTTATATTTTATAATAATATTTAATATAATATATGTACATATGATCTAATATCTAAACATAAAGTTCCAAATATTTCATAATACATTTAAAATAATAATTCTTGAGTAATCTTTTTGTAATACAATTAAATAAAAATTAAAATAAATAATTGAGGCTTTTCAATTTATAATTGAGACTTTTCAATTTATAATTGAGGCTTTTCAATTTATAATTGAGGCTTTACTAATTTATATATTATGTCTATAAAAGACTACAAATAAAAAATAATAAAAAAGTAATAAAACATTTCGTTGTTATAAACCGCATAAATAACGCGTTATTTAAACCTAATTTGTAAGAGAGAATAACAAATAATAATAATATATCTTATATATATATATATATATATATATATATATATATATATACAGAGTGTCCGGTAACTAACGGACCAACGATTAGAAATGGATTCTTTGGTCAATTTGGGAACGATTTTTCCTCAGCGAAAATGTCGAAAAAGGTCATCATTTTTTACAACTTTCCAATATTTGTCATTATGTATCTTTATAACTAAGCCTCAAATTAAAATTTTATTATAGTAAACTCTACCTGAAATTAACTGAAGAATGTAATTATGTTAGACTTTTAACTCCAAAACGTTTAGTTTTCAAAAAACCCATTTTTTTCAATCGCTTATAACTCAAAAATTATTGATATATATATATATATATATATATATATATATATATAGGGTGTCCGGTAACTAACGGACCAATGATTAAGAGCGGATTCTCTGGCCAATTTGGAGACGATTTTTCCTTAGCAAAAATGTTGAGAAGTCAATAATTTTTGAGTTATAAGCGATTGAAATTCTCTGTGTCCAAATTTATATTTTCTGTTTATATATATATGTATATATATATATATATATATATATATATATATATATATATATATATATATATAAACAGAAAATATAAATTTGGACACAGAGAATATGTCGTAATTTTTATGTCACTTAAAATAAAATCTTGAACAAGCAATTTTGCGCTACCAAAAAGTAGTTTATCAATTTATTTTTTTTATCCGCGAAGTGTGTACGTGTGAATAAGTGTTCATAAGTGTAAATGTTATCTGTATGTGTTTCGTTTGTTCTTACTATAATAATTAATGTGTAAAATTGGTTGTTTGATTGAGCTCTCTAGTCGCATTTCGTTTTACGTGTTTAATTGTGTTATTGCGTTGATCCCAGAAGTTAACACGAGTCGCGTTTGTTAACGTTTCGCTCGTCATTTCTCTTCATCCGATATGTATAATACCGGTTTTCCCTCCGCGATATATTTCGCAGACGAAAAACAAGTTATTATACAAGATTTCTAATCAAATGCACAAATTGACTTTATATTCAAACTCGATATATCAATCGATATATCGGTAATAAATATTGTAATAAAAAAATTAGCTTACACTATAGATTTAAATGTATAATATTCAATACTATTGTCAGAATATACACCAAACATTAAAATGATATATGAACGGCGTGCGAAACGCACAATAAAAAATACGAAAAAAAGAAAAACAAAAATAACAGTCGATTATCTTGCACTTAAGGTATAATAAAATCTTACACTGTTATTCGATGAATAAGAAAAAAAGTAGACAATGATAAATTACATTATATGAGATCACATTTACGACACTTAACGAAATTGCGATTCTTTGTAATCTATTAATTATATACCTTTATGTGATAAAAGGTCTATTTACTTGGTGAATTATATGTATATTAGCGTAATACTCGCCATCATCGACAAAATAAGACACAACGCGACCCGCTCGGTAATTAAACATGAGCATTTCGAGAGCACTCTTCCGAAATATTCCTCGTTTAGATCTATGGTAAATCCTACAGAGTAAATATAATTAAGTCATATATTTAATCAGGTAAACTTTTCAGATCAATGTCCCCTACCGAGATATATATCCACACGATTATAATATACCCTTCCCTCCACCTTATATCCATCAGTGATCTTGTTCTAATCATCTAAAATTTAAACACTTATAAGCACATCATCATACAATATTTCGTAATTATCGTCGACAATAATAATAGTGTAATAGTAATAGTGCAATTGTAGTACTTGCAATAGTAGCAATAGCAATAGTGATAAGAGTATAATATTTGTATATATAGTAGTAATAATATAGAATTAATTATATATAATAGTAACAATAATAATCGTAGCCTTAAACGTGCCTAATAATAGCTATTATAAATCGGAGGTAAAAAATAAACCAGTTTCCACGTGCATTATGGTATGGTCGAACAGAAGCCAGTCCGACGACCACACGTAAGTTCTTATAATACAATTTGTAAAAATATTTGTGATTGTTTTTTTTTCTTATTATCCCCACCCTTTCGCACATTGATATTATTTCCAAATTATTGGAAGAGTAGGAAAGCAGTCGCTAAACTAATTTGAGGAATTAGTCGTAAACAAGAAAGAGTAGAAAAAAGGAACTGAGAGAGAAATACGTATTTTTAAGATACTACTAGTGATATGACATAAAAGTAAAAAAGGACGCCCGCAAAAACTGCATCCTGCTGAGTGTAAAGATTTATATAGATTATACAATACACCATATTAAAATGATCTATATTTTACACTATTTTCTATAGTCGTAGGTCAGCCTGTGATCATCTTACTTAATTATCTGATTAATTACTCTCGTTATCATTTTTTTCCTCAATTATCCGATATAACAACTATTTAATAAATACAAGATCGTGGAGGGACGAGTGTCTCGAATGTGCAAGTCATCGCGCTGACTTTCCACTTGGAGACTATAGTTTAAATATTTCTTTCGTTTATTCTTATCGTTTGTGTTACCGAAGTGCCTGCTAACGATCAGGAGGTGAACAAGCATCGAAATTTGTGCCTGTTCTGAGAAGATATCCTCTCCAACTTGAGATCTTATTCACCTCCGTAATAAATGCCATTATCGATTAAATGATTAGCATTCCTGACTCTTTACGCTCGCCTTTATTCATTTATTTTTTTTTTTTATTCTTCTCTAAAGAAAGTCACTCATATCATGTGTAATGTGTGTATTAGTCTTACAGTATTTCTACATCACGCTTTCTTCCTTCTATCCTAGTGCCATACAAATTTCGCTTGCATCATGGGTGTCTATTCTAATTCTTTCGAGCTGCTGTTCTAATTTATTCAATGTAACTTTAAAGGAATTTATTTCCTTTTTTTCTTTTATCTGAAAAGATCATGGGCCGTTCTCGCGAGCGATCAATAAAAAAAATCAATATCTAAAAAGAGCCTAAATACCCCTTCTATTCCTTGACGCTTCCGTCTTCCAAGCTTACATTTTGATATTGTCAAAAAAGACATTTATTTATAAATATGACCGCTCGCAAACGACATACTGGCTTCAACAAGAGACATTCTTTACGTCTTCTATCGTCGATTACGTTTGTTAATGTTAGCAACTTTTCCACCAATTACTTTACAACTCTAATCGTAACTCTAATTTACAGTTCTACAAAAATATGCGCAGAATTCCTTAAACAAGGTACTTTTTTCATTATAAATAATGACCATCCTAACGCACATGATAAATAGAGGTAAGTGACGAGTAAAGCAGCAAGGAATGTCTCGTATCATAGCGCAGATTTCACGATCAAATACAGTTTGTCCTCAATATAAAGTAAGAAATAACCCACGAGCAAGGCCAAGCCATTCAGCGCATTTCTCCACCATGAGTCAATTAAAATGGTCATGAGGTGGGCCACTCTTTGAAATCAAAGCCTTGCTGACCGGGTTTAGGTGCGCTGGCGGCATACCCACCTTGGTTGCTTTCTCCTCCTTGATACGAACGCTGAGGATAGGTGGTGTCGGCGTAGTTACTATACGCGGAGTACCCAGTGTAATCCGGAGTCTTAGCGGAACTGCTGCTGGACCCGGGAGCACCTGAGCCAGTGTTCTGCCGCGAGTACATATCACCTGAAACATTCGTTCGTAACATTAAATCATCACGTTCATCTAAACTCACCAAAAGTTTTAAAATAGAGCTAATTTCTAATGGTTTTTAAAAAAGATACAACAAAAATTAAGTTAAACGTAAATATGTTTAAACGAATACTACAGTCAATTATTTTCAGTATATAATTTTCAGTATATAATTATTTTCAGTATATAATTCATGATGTATGACGTGAACTTTTTTGTGTTATTATTTAAACATTATATACAAAAATTAAAGGCTAAATATTAAATTTTTTAAAAATACACAAATATGTATCTTTTTGTTTTTTATCTACATGTTAATTTATCTTATTTTCCTATCATATTATAATTAAAATATATAGAAACAATATAAATATCTTTCCTATTTAATAATATTATTTTGTGGACAAAATAAAAGCAATATTATTTTTTAAAAATCTGTTTCTTATAATTAAATGTCAAAAAATTTATTAAGTAAATCAACTGAAAATCTTAAATATTTTTTATCTCGTAATTTATTGAAATACAAAAAAAAATACATTTTTCTAGGTAGTCTCCATGGCACGCAATATAAATGTTCCACCACTTTAGAAATGAATGGATATTTCTAGAAAAAAGGTCTTTCACCTTAGCTTCACCTTACCTAAGTACGTTTTCAGGTAAAATAATTTTTTTCTACAAGTATCCATGCACTTCCGAAGTGCTAAAAAAAACTTGTATTGTACACCAATGGAGACTATATAGAAAAATAATGTAAGTGTATACTATTTGTATATTCAATAAATTGCAAGATGAAAAATATTTAATGTTTTTAGTTAATTCACATATAATAATAATAAAATTAATTAAGTTATATTAGTAAATAATAGAAAGATTATGTATACCAATATATCCTCGTAAATATTGAAAAGAATAAAATTTAATTTTGTAAACATTTGTGTGTAAAAAGAATATCTCACCTAGTATGTAAAAAATATTATAAACTTCTATATATATATTTAACTTTGCTATTCTTAATATCAAGACATTTATATATTTATTTATACATATTTGATTAATTAATTAATCTTACTTCTTCTAAATATTAATTTTTATATAGAAATTTAAAATCATAATGTAAAATAATAATTCTATCAAAAATTGTCTAGTAACTTGTAAAATAATATAAATCTTAATAAACATTATAATTTTTAAATCAAAATATATGCTGAAAACATATAATCACTATATAATGACATGCATTTTATATCAAAGACACATTACAATTATCTAGCATAATAAATTGTGCAGACAAACTATTTCAATATTTTTAACATCTAAGTTCCTCAAATTGTTATACATTTATTCACACATATAATTATTATTTGTAAATAAAACTTATCTTAAATAACAAATATTGTAAAAAAACATTTACATATACAAATAACTCGCATTTTTTCACAACAAATCCAAATAAATTTATATTAATTAAAAAGTTTTACTTCATATATATTTTATATATGATTAAATACACACACATATTGTGTGTAAACAATAAAAAGCACTAAGTGAGACAAACATATATTACACACAAGCGAAGATATTAAAAGTATTATATTGATTTAGGATCTCAAAGACGAATTGATGTCATTTATAATAACCTTTATTTTCTTTTATTATAACGTATTTTTATAACTTAAAACGCAATAGCTTGTCATTATTAATATTTTTAATAATGATGATATTTATTATTGCTAATAGCGGAGACATTAATTCGTCATTAATTAGGTAGGACAACGCTAAAGAAATTAAAATATCAGAGAACATGATTACTATCCTACATGATAATTATAAAATATTAATTCTTTTTACACTTTTAATAATTATAATGATTATTATGTTTTATAACATGCTCGGGTCTTGGAAGAGAAGTATCTTCTGAGAATTCTATTCTAAATCTGTTATGTCTAATATAATATGCTAATCTGTCAATTATAAATATAGTTAAATGTATACCCAATAAATAGGTATTGGCAGGGTACATGCTTTTCGATCATCTACATGTAAAAAAAGTTAAACATAAAAAAATATAAAAAACCAATAACAAAGTAAAAAATTTGCAAAGGAAGGAGTATCGGGGTACATCAGGATTCCTGGATATAAAAAAGGTACTCTTAATTTATCGTTACGGCTCAGAAATTATCGTCTCTCATGCTTGAAGCATAATCTATAATATCGTTTAACGATTTAAAACATGAGATAATAAAGCAGATACGAAGGAGAAATAGCGACAAGCGACAGTGCGTCAAGCATATATACAGCAAGCGTTGCTTTCGATCCCAAAGATTGAGCAATATGCAAAAAGCATATCCGATTATTTCTACACAATTCAACGTGGAGCAGAAGCTAATATCTACGCATTGTTTTTCCTTCACTTTTTATATCTCCTAAACAATATCAAATTACGTCTCAAGTAAAGTACGGTGATTTCCGAGCCCTATATTATTTGATTTTATATGAATGTGTAAACAAATTTTATTCTACTTCCTTCAATCTCCATAATAACTAAACTGTATCATATTGTGCGTCAAATGTATTGAGTTTTCTGTGCATTATTTATCTAATATTCAATAAAGCATAATATGCTAATACAATTTTTTGCGATGTAATAAAGGATTATACATGTTGATAATCTATAAATCTATATGAAAGTGATTATTGTATTTTTTCTCAATCTTTCTTTTAATCTAGCAATAAGTTACTAGCAAACTCTATTCACAGGATGTTTTATGCATAAAAGCTCTAAAAATGTTAATAAATGTAATGTTATAAAAATTCAATTTGTTCTGTTATTAAAAGAATATTGTTAAATTATTAATTCAACTGTTAAATTGTATTTGCAAAAATCATTTACACGATTAGCAAAACTCAGTTGCGAGATCTGAAGAAAATTTATTATATATCATGAATAAATCAAATAAATGGCGATAAACATTCTATACATTGTAAGCGCATTAATCTTTCCGAAGGCACTAGACATTTAAAATTAAGTTGATGTAAAAATACGAAAAAAAAAAAAATTATATTACTTTAGCTAGGTTCAAAATTTTGGTCAAAATGGAACTAAATGCGATGCCAAAGGGTGGAAAGAGGAGAGTTGTTTGACTGAGCTTGAAGACTCACCCTGCGGGCCAGAGGGGTTCGAGTTGGAGTTGGGCTGCGAGGAGTTGGGCTGAGGGGGCTGGGGTGGGGGCTGGGTCCCAGGAGGGGGCCCATTCTGTGGCATGTTCCAGGAGCTCCAGGAACCCCCGGGCCCGCCCCCCGCAGCCCCGCCAGTACCGGCCGTGGGCCCGTAGCCCCCTGAAGCGGCCGCCGCCGGCCCACCTGCGATCATCAACCACACAAAAGTGTCACCGACCGCATGTCACCTCAAATCACTTTTCTTATAGCGCTCTTTTAATTTATACTACTATTATCTTTATCTCTAATTTGTTAAAAAAGTGTCTTAACATGTGTCTCTATTTTTTCTCAGCGTTGCGTAAGAATATCTCTTGCACGATCTTGATTTAAACGTTCATGCTTGGTTCTCTTAATATTGTGAACAAAGAAGAAGAAGAAGAAGAAGAAAAAAGAAGAAGAAGAAGCGATAGACAGACGATGTGATAATACTTGTGAAAGTTGCTTTGCAGAAAATGCTGCTGTGCAACATTCTGGTATCTAATTATGATAGCATATGTGTGTGTGTGTGTGTGTAGGTGTATGTTTCTTTTTATTTTATAAGACGTGAATACGATATTTATTGGATGGTACTATGGTAAACAGCATAGTATCATACCCAATGTTAGTATTCGCTATCAAGCATACTATTTTTAGCACAGCAATTTGTGCTTTAAAATAATTTATGTTATAGACAAAATGAAAACTGTAAATATTGTTTTAGTGTAAAAGCAGAATTTGTATAAAAATCTGGGAAAGTAAACTTCAATACAGAGAGACGTGAAAAAGGATTAAACTTGAAGAGAATCAAGCATAAACATAGATAAGATTATGAGGTCCAATATTTCGAATATGTATACGAAATATGTATTATGTTCGAATATATACTTTATGTCAATCCAAACTAAATGCTAAAGTTTCATTCAAAACTTAAGATGTTTAATAAAAAATGTATAATAATTATAATTGCAATATAATTGCATATTTTTCATAGTTACTATAAATATATATATGTATTTATGTACGTAATTAGTTATAAAAATATACGATAAAAAAATCGCAGCAACTTGCAAAAAATGATAACACATTACTCGATATTTTCTAAGGAAAAATCAATTCCTCATTGATTGGAAAATAAAAAGAAACATGTATCTTGCTATCTTATCTCTTATTATATTAGTTATAATCTATACTTGTCATGGAATAATTATAAATAAAATACATAAGTCTGGACTGACATAATTACTTTAACTTTCTTTGCGTAAAAATTGTCCTACTGTATTTTATTTCAAAATAAATAAACCTCCAGGGGGCATTGTGCATATTGATCGTATTATATTGCGATTGTAGATTTCTCATGTTCTTATCTTTTTCTTTCTTCTTCTAACCTCTCCAAGCAGGATGGAGGTGGAAGGGAGTGGAACAGGATTAAAGTTATATTTAGCTAAGACCTTATCGCTACTATTCCTGAGCATGATATAAACGAAGTTGATACTTGAGATTAATAATTTTGAAAAAATCGAATTAAATTTGTAATTTTTCAAGGGTAGCGCTTTAACTGCATATATACATCAGTGTCACATTGTATATCTCGAGCAAGTTGATATCAACCTCGTTCACTTTCTCATGTACCCTGTATAAATAATAAGATAATTTTCTGAATATTTCAATAATACTACTAATTTCTATTTATGTCCTATAATTTTATGTAGCATAATATAGTGTTTATAACTTTCAATTTTGCCATTAAAAGTTTAAAGTTTTAAATATTTTAAATTTTATTAATTAATATATATATATATATATAAAGAATTAGAAGATCTTATTTGCTAATAAAATATCGATTAATATTTTTATATCAATAAAAAAAGATTGAAAGAACAGACAGAGAGACAGATTTTCTTTGTAAATTGTCAAAATTTTGTAAAATGTATATATGTATAACTGCCAAGAATTATTATTGAATATTATTCAAATTATCGAGCAAAATGTTGAATTATTTTTCGACTATTTCAATCAAATTAAAAAAGATTAATATTAATAAATTAATTAATTTCTTTATTTCTTTATGTGAAAGTGAAAGAGGGAAATATTTGAATATTTAAACATAGATTTTTTTTCCTAAATTACCATAGCTTCCATAGCCCTGAGTAGCTGCAGCAGGTTGAACATTATAGCTGCTACCCCATTGATGCGGCGGTGGAGGCGGAATTTGTTGCTGCTGCGGCGGTCCTGGTGGTGCTCCCCAGCCTTGAGCATTATACTGGGTACTATATCCTGCGTAGCCACCGGTTGAGGACTGGTGCCCCAACCTTGATATTGTTGCATCATGTTACCAGGAGGACCCATCGGTCCACCCATCATCGGTCCACCCATCTGCCCGTTCGGGCCACCCATGGGCCCCATATTCCCGGCCATCCCCATCGGCGGGCCACCCTGTTGAGGCGGACCCCACTGACCCTGATGACTATCGTTCATCTTGCTTGACGAATCTCGTGGCTCTGCGCGTTTAATTTCAACCTGAAAAGAGCAGATGTGAGAATGTGTGTATACAGATTATTTTATCAGAATCGATAAAAAAATGTTGAATTCGCATTGAAAATAAATTTTTGAAAATAAATTTAGAAATATATGTATACGCGCATTATATATTACTCTTTACAATTATCTTTACGAATTATTATATGTTTTAGGCTAAGAAGTTACTGTTAATAATATAATATTCTGCACATTAATGTTGCATATAATACTCTATCTCTTAAATAAAAGTAATATTTAATTCTAACTATAAAATAGAAAGTCATTAATTAAACGGTATACTTATATCATATAAACTAACATGTTTTAATAACACAATACTTATATCATAAATATATTAAAAACACTTAATACTATTCAAATTACAAAATTAGTTATCTTCCTATTAATTCAATATATAAGTTTTTATAATATGCTAATACTTGTATTAATTGATCATATAATTAATAATTAAACAAATAATTTATGTGACTAAAATTCCTATGTATATTATTTCTAATTTCAAGAGAACGATACATATTAACAATGTACATATACATATACTTATTTTCTATTTATTACATAAAATCATATGTCATAATAACATATGGTCTTACGCAGCATCATGATTACATGATGATGGTGTATTGATGTGTTATACCTGTTTTCCATTCAGGTTGACAAAATGTTCTGCTACGCATCTGTCCACTGCTTCTTCATCCTCGAAGCTGAGAAAGCCGAATCCTGTCGTCCAAACGTGAGAGAGTATAATCAAAAAATGCTCGCCAGAATAATGCGAGAAAGCAGTTTTTACAATACAATTTGTAAAATATGTGCAATCACAAAAATATATTTATATTTTCCAATCTTATAATATTGATTCAATAATAAATTTTGTCGTTTATATTATTGAATATAATCGCTTTTTATATTTGCGCAATATCGCTTTTATATTGTAAATTTTTCTGTAATCCACTAACAATGAGTATATAATAACTCATCATATTATATATCAATATAGTACTGTACAATACAGTTCAAATCGAAAAATTTTGTTCTCATTTATTTTAGAATTTTATTACTTTATAAATTTAGAATACTAAAATATATGTATTAATTTATATATTTAATGTACATATTTCCACAAAAACAACTAGCTGTGTTTAAAAATAGACCAAAGAATGAGAAAGAGAAATTTTAGTGCCGTACAACTATTGGCTGAGTCCATTGTCTCGTCTTTCAACAAATTTATTTTGTCTCACACTAAGATTAAAATATCGTTGTGACTTTTTTCTTGATTATTAATAAACTTAATTAAATTTTTTGAATGATACAAACATTTAAAACAATGCAAAAAATTTCGAGAAAAATACAAGAAATTATATATATTATAAATTATTGTACTAGATTATATAAAACTCTATAACATCTATACTTTGTGATGTTTATAATGCAATTCGAAAGTTACACGTATTCATTTTTTGTTATAAAATTGAAAATTAATTCTTTATTTTTCTTATTTTTATTGATTAATAAGAATATCATTTATACAACTGAGATAATTGTCATTCTTAATCTATAATTTTATTTCCTTTTTAATTCTTAATCTATAATCTTTATAATAAATATTATTTAAAATAAACTACATTATTCAAAAATTTTGGTAAATAACCGCAAATAAGAATGAGAATTTTGTTGAAAAAAAGTTTAAACTTAAATATTATTTCGTGTTAAATTTATAATCCATGCATATGTGTATTAAAAATTCTGATACTATAATAATAATTTTCAATGCATTCACTGTCAACATCAGAAATTTATGTCAAATATAAGATGCCATAATATTATATAATGGACATTATCAGACAAATAAAATATATATTATTAAACAATGAATGCATTTGTTGGGTCATTCTTCATAAGATAATAAAATTTTAATAGCTTATATTTTCTATTTTCTAATTTTGATAGATATTTTCTAATTTTGATGATGGCTGTCTTTAAGAAGCTTCTCAATAAAAGTATTAGAATATTTAATTCGAAAAATAAGCAGACATGTACCCAAAGCTAAATGTTAACTTCTTGAATGCAACCACACACATATAAACAGCTTTATCTAGCCGGAAAATATTTGAAAATAATTGAAAAATGTTTGTATCTAATCTAACAAAAGTACTAGTCACAACCTTATTTATAAGTACAACAATAGTGATGCTTAGCCAATAGTTTCCAGCTATAAATATAAATTTATTCATTTAGTTTTATTTTAAAATAATTATATTATTATAGTATTTAGATATTAATACGTTACTTTTCCTTTTAAAGCATATTTTATAAATTTAATATAAATAATTACAACTCTATAAATGTATAAATAATATAAATATAATTACATAAATGAATTACTTCAAAGCACGATATTAAATGCATAATATCTAACAAAAATGGAATCGCTTACTAATTACATAGCAGACTTAAGCTATGTATAACTTACAATAGCATAATTTGATAGAGCCTTATATTTAATAAAACTTAGCCAAAACGCATTATATATAAATTGCTTCATTTAATTAATGTAAAATAGCGCAATGCGTAACGTAATTCTCGAAAAAAACAAGATGTATTATTTAAAAAAAAAAATCTGGATATCGTAATAATTGCGCAATATTAGATAATTTTAAATTGTATTATTTAATCTTATAATTAGAGAAAATAAACTGCTTAAAATGTTAAGAATTGTTAACTCTTAATGAAATCTTAATATCACTTTTTATTATATGATAATAATAAATTTACTACAATAGTCAGAATTTTTGATGAAATAAACTTGCACTTTCACAAAATTATCTTTAATTAACCAAAATTAACCAAAAAATATTCAATTTCCTTTACATTCATATTCACTTTGTGGTGCAATAAAATTATTTTAAATTATGTTACATATAATTTAATAAATCTATTTAATTACATACATCTATTATATTACATATAATATAGATTTAGAATGTAGCATATGGAATCTCTTATATATTATTTCTTTAGAAAAAAAACTTCAAGAATTCTGACTATAATTGCGATATTATAAAGATTACGAAAGGGTTTAACTTATTCTAAAGCTGTTTTGATACATTGTTTAATAGTTTTTCACAATTTATATTCTTAAAATATATAAAACATTGAAAAAAAACGTAATTTGAAACTAATGTGTTTTTAAAAAACACATAAAGTAATTTTTTATCAAAAAGAGGAAAGAATTAAATATATATAATACTAAAAGAAAAATATTTAAATAATGCTGGAAAATCACCAACATAATGTATCAATTAGCACATTTTGATATAAAAGTAAATTTACACTTACCTCTGGATTTCTCTTCTCCTGATCGGACATTATAACCACTTCCATAACTTTGCCAAAGCGAGTAAAATAGGACATTAAGTCAGTCTCCGTCACATACTTGGCACCCACCAAGAAAAACTTTTGGAAAACCACCACTACGTTTTGGTTT